CCATAAGGTTTTCTTGGGTGTAATCTTTACAGGAGCCGATCACCAGGTCTTTCTCCAGCAGAGCTGATGGGTGAGTTCAAACCGCCAACTTTTCGATTTGCTGCCAAAGCGGAAACCTGCCAGAGAAGGAAAGCTCAAATATTTTCCACTAAAGCAAGCAATAGAAAAGTGGTAAGACCGCGCTTTGAGACCTGTAAAAACAAGGCAGTGCCGCTGAGTTCTGGCTCTTACAGGTTTAACTGTATTTTCTCCCATTCTGTGGGTTGTCTCTTCACTTTGTTGACAAAGTCCTTTGATGCATAAGGTTTCCTTTTTATTCTTTAGGTGAAAATTTACAACTCAGTTTCTCGTACAAAAATTTATACCCATATTGTTTTGTGACATTACTTGAAATCACCACATTCCCCCTTTTCACCCTGAGTTCCCTGTGTCCACTCAACCAATTCCTGTCCCTTCCTCCCTTCTTTTCCTGCCTCCAGACAGGAGCTGCCCGTTTGGTCTCGTGTATCTGATTGAGCTAAGAAGCGCACTCTTCACATGTGTTTTTTTTTTTTGTTTTCTAGTTCTGTCTGATCTTTGTGTGAAGAGTGAGCTTCAGGAATGGTTTCAGTTCTGGGTACCAAAGTGTCCTGGGGCCATAGTTTTAGGGGTTCCTCCAGTCTTTGTCAGACTGTTAAGTCTGGTCTTTTTACGTGAATCTGAGTTCTGCTCCACACTTTCCTCCTGCTCTGTCCAGGGCTCTCTGTTGTGTTCCCTGTCTGGGCGGTCATTGGTGGTAGCCGGGCACTATCTAGTTCTGGTCTCAAGCTGATGGAGTCTCTGGTTTATATGGACCTTTTATCTCTTGTGGGCTAATATTTTTCTTGTGTCTTTGGTTCATTTTCCTTTGCTCCAAGTGGGATGGGACCAATTGATGCATCTTAGATAGCCGATCGCAAGCTTGTAAGACCCCAGATGCCACTCACCAAAGTGGGATGCAGAACATTTTCTTAATAAACTTTGTTATGCCAATGGACCTAGATGTCCTCAGACCCCAGCCCCAGCTACTCTGTCCCTCAGAGTGTTTGGATGTATATAGGAAACTTCTTAGCTTTTCCCTTGGTCCAGTTGTGGTGCACACGATTTTTAATTTATCTGTTTTGTCTTTCATTGGTTGTGCTTTTGGTATCATATTTAAGAATCCAGTGTTGAAAACTAATGTGTGGAGAAAAGATCTTATTTTTAAAAATTGTAATAGTATTGAACGTGTCAAAAAGTTAAAAAATGTGTAGAGTAAAAATGATCATTAAACGCCACTTGTAGTCTCAACATCAGTAGAAAAATGTGGTGCCTTTTATTTTCCCCCTTCCTTCCCTAGAGATAGACAGTATAAAAGTACTCCCTTTTTGGACTGGAGTTCTCCTTGGAGCCATGACTGGTAATGTCACTTCATATCAAATGCAAACTTTCATTCAAAACTACTGAATTTTCCTAGTTCAGAATCTAAGAATTGCCCCTCAGGTAACACCACAATATCAACTTACATTCCCTAAAGGCCTAATATGCATCAGAACTGTGCCCTTCCTTTTCTTTAGCTTGAAGCTTCAGAAGTGGGAATGGAGCCTGTTTCAGAGGTTTCAGTTTGATTCTTTGTGTCCAGGAAGACAGCATACAGGTTGAGATATGGGCTCTTGGGTACCAATGGACTCCAAGACCAAATCTTTCCCATAGTCTGCCTGGGGCACTAAGGATTGTATGGCTCTTAAATCTTACGTGTCCACAACAGAGCTTTTAAAATCACATATGAACAAATCAAGTTTTCACCTGGCTTTCCATTCACTGGATTAGTGGAAATAGCCCAAGCTAGTCTGTGAGAGATCTACCTTATGAAAGCAGCCTGTGGACTTTCTTCTACTTTTTCTCTTGTCACAAAAAGGTATAATCTCCATCTGACAGCAAGAGGCATATTTCAAAAATGTAAACCAAGTAAGCTATCCATGTATTTATTTTAGAATATTTTTAAAAAATAAATCAATGTATTTATCTTAGAATAAAATTCATATATTTTATGTTGGCCAACAAGATCCGTCACATTCAGGCTTATGTGTTGCTCTCTGACTTAAATTTATAACACTCTCATGTTTGATAAACTCTTGACACATTTTAAAAAAACTTTTTCAATGATGTCAGGATTTTCTCTGCCTTTCAGCCTTTGCATTTGTATTTCTTCTTATTGTAGAAAAAACATTTTAACCATAGGAATTGGATAATTCTTATAAGTCAGGTATTATTTCAAGTGTCACCTTCTCAGAGAGTGCCCCTGCTTCCCCTCAGTTACTCCCCCTCATTTCTGCTTAAATATCATTGTAGGTTTCAGAATGAGGTAAATCCAATTTAGGTTGACGTTAATCTTAATCATGGAAATACAAGCAAATTGAGTTAAATGTTATCTTTGCTTTTACTAGCTCTGTTTTCTTATTTTGGAGCCCTGGTGGCACAGTGGTTAAAGCACTTGACTGCTAACCGAAAGGTTAGTGGTTTGAACCACCACTGCTCTGTGGGAGAAAGATGTGGCAGTCTGCTTCTGTAAAGATTCACGGCCTTGCAGACTCCGTGGGGGCAGTCCTGCTCTGTCCTGTAGGGTTGGTATGAGTCGGAATGGACTCAGCGGCAGTGGGTTCGGCTTTCCCCCCATTTAACAAACTTCCAGCATATAAAAAGCTGTGAAGCTCCTCATTGTGGTGACGGCAATTTTCACACCCTCTCTGCTGTGTTGGTTGCCTAGGGTTCTGGTGAGTCCACTAGAGCTATGATGTCCAGTAGGCAGATGTTACTATTTCAATTAAAATTAATTAAAACTAAAAGGAAAAGTTCAATTCTTTAGTTATACTAGTTATATGTTCAGTGCTAAATAGGCACATGAGGTTAGTAGCTACCATATCGGACCATGCAAAAACAGAACCTATCTTCATAGAAAGTTCCATCCATTGGATAGTGCTGCTCCAGAGTATATATAAACGTAATAATCTGTGTGTCCTCAGTGATCAGTGTCATAGACCAGAAAGAACAAGAAAACAAATTACATAATGTCTGTCCATAGATATACAGGCTAGCATGGGAGACATTTTTAAATAAATAATGAAAACCAGGGACATCTGATACCTGTAATAAAAGGACCTGGTGGCACAGTGGCTTAAGAGCTTGGCTACTAACCAAAAGGTCAGCAGTTCAAATCCACCAGCTGCTCCTTGGAAACCCTATGGGGCAGTTCTGCTGTGTCCTGTTAGATTGCTATGAGTTGGAATCAACTTGATGGCAGTAGGTTTACTGTTTTTGATTTTGACCAGAGTCATGTTAAACTGCTTGAAAAGGAAAGTTATTTAAGTGAAGTTTCAGAAAATTAGTTTTATTTAGCTACGTGCATAGTTGTGTAGGGCTAATAGCCTGTTGTATGGGAGGAGAGTATTTCTTTTGGGAAAAATGAGTGTGTAAATCCCTGACGCAGCAGAGAACCTAGTGTCATACATTCCTTGATGAAAGAGATGATTGAAGCAGAGAAAACAAAGTGTAGGTAGGGGGTTTGTGTGAGCCAGATCGGAGGAGGCAATGGCAGCAGGTCGTTTAGAACCATACTGACTACCCTGGGCTTTTAGAAGGCCAGAGGACAGCCACTGACTGGCATTAAGCAGTTCCTGTGCTGCAAATAGATTTTGGAAATGACAACCGTGATTAAATGACGTCAGGCAGGACAGGAGTTGTTATGAATAAGTTAAGGAAGACTGTGAGGAGGCCTAGATATGGAGATTGGTTATGGATCAGGAAAATAGTGTAGTGATATACTGTAGATGTAGACGGTGCAGAGGGTATTCGTTTAGAATGCTGAGTCTTTGAGTTACACGCTATAGATTAGTGAATGCTTCTTATATTTGAACATCAGTGTAATCTGGTGATCTTGTTAAAATGCAAATTTTGATTCAGAAATTCTGAAGTGGGGCTTGAGATTCTACATACTGAACCAGTTCCTAGTTTATGCTGGAATTAATAATAAGGATGTGGATGAAAATTAGAGAGTGGTATTAGAGAAAATCATAAAAGAAAAGCCAAAAAACCAAACCTGTTGCCGTCAAGTTGATCCCAACTCATAGTGATCTTATAGGACAGAGTAGAACTGCCCCATAGGGTTTCCAAGGAGTGACTGGTGGATTTGAACTGCCAACCTTTTGGTTAGCAGTGGAGCTTTTAACCACTGCACCACCATGGTTCCAGCAAAAGAAAGGATAATGCTTAAAGGGGAGACACTAGTGTAAAAGATCATGGGAGAGTGAGAACATTTACACTGAGACCAAGAAATGAAAGAATAGGAGTCAGCTTGGATGGGAAGCAGGGTAGCAGGGTAGAAAGAAATGGGAAGAAAGGAGAGAAATGGCTCCTTCGAGAAAACTTAATGATTTTCTGATTTATTTGTTGATCAGTTTATTATAAGGTTGAAAGACGAAGTGTTGAGGAATCCTCCCAGTTTTCTCAAAAGCTTAGGGACTAGTAGTGTCATGGTTTAAGAACGAAGGGGGAAAAAAGAAATGCTAATTGTAAAAGCAACAGGGAAAATACCGATCACATGTTACAAGGATACAAATGAAATGAAAAAAATTTTTAAAAAGCAAAACAGAAGTGTTTTAAATGCACATAATTAAAAATGAATGAACCATGCTGAGTTCATTGACAAAACTTCACAAATATATTCTTCCTGAAAGTTCACCCATAGTAATCCAATAACAGCGCGTGGGACAAAGTTATGTAGGTGAACCCAGAACTTCAACATGGGACGCCTGACTCCCTAGAGGAAATCAGGTTCAACTTTTCCATCTGGCCAGGCTTCTCATGCTCTGGGATGAATAAAATCTTCCCAAGTTTGTTCTTGTTTCCAGAAAGAAGAGTGCATGGAGCTGCATGACAAATGCAGATGTGTGCTCTGGAGGTTGGAGCCTGTTCTGCCTTCAGTGCAAATGCCCTCAGAGGGGAGCATTGCCCTGAGCCTGGGAGGAAGCAAAAAACCTGTCATTCCCTGCTTACTCAACACTATCCTCTCCATTCTTCTTCCATTTCAGGTCTCAAGTGTGGTGCAGGGGGAACTAGTCCAGTCTAGGCAGCTGAGGATCTAGGGCGACCATCTTGCACATAAGTAAATCACAAGTACAGTTTCAACTGCCCTGTCTAGTGTGTGGACCAGACGTTATTCATCTGCTACCAGACCTCCCGGTGCTCTGCTTGCACTCCCATCCCTCTTATTGAAGGGGTTCTTGGGCTTAGAGACGACGTTCTCTCAGACTTCCAGAAGCTGGAGCAAGGAAATGGTGAGTTCTGTGGAGAACTGGGTTATTCTTACTGTAAGTGGGTGAGACTTATTATGGATTGTTGGGGGACCAGCTGTGTCCTGTGACAGTGTGGTTCCTCAATGAAGAAAAAAGGTGGCAGGGGAGGCCAAGGAACTGAGCCCTAGGAGGCATGCTAAGGCCCTGCTGTACTGTCACTGGGCCCTTCCTCTATACATATGTGGCTTTTCAAGATTTGGATGCCTGGGATCACCTTCCTTCTCTGTCAGAGTTGGCACCATGAGGTGTTAACATCCTCACCTTGGGCCTTGGTGCTCTGTATTGAATGACAGAGCCTGAAGATGCAGCAGCTCTGACTGTGGAGGCTAAGACCTGGCCCTCCAGAGCCATCCTTGTCCCATCTCAACAGTTTTCTTGACGTCTGCCAGCACTGGAGCATGTTCTGTGCAGTTCTAAAACTACAGGTCCACCTCTCACACTGTGTTATGTGTTAGAAAAAGGGGAAGAGTGTTCGTGGGTGAAGGTCCTGTTTATGGGGTCCTGGGCGATGGTGGTGCTCTCCTAATGTCAACAAAGGTATGAACCTGGGGATAGTGAGTCCTTCTGGAACCTGTGTGAGATCTCCAGACCCATTCTCCCTTGACCTGCCCTCCCCCCCCCCCCAACGCGGAATGCTTTTGCCTTGAGGCTTGGCTTCTGTATGGAAAGCATGAATCCCCAATGTAGGTCTTTGTCCTCCCACCTGTGCCTGGAGCTTGTGTTTAATTCCTATGATTTTTTACTGTTTTCCGTAGTCTTGAATGTTTACCTGTGTTTTATTGACTATGCAAAGACATTCGACTGTGTGGATCATAACGAATTATGGATACCATTGTGAAGAATGGGAATTCCACATCACTTAATTGTGCTCATGAGGAACCTGTACATAGATCAAGAGGCAGTTCCAAGAGAACAAGGGATACTGCGTGGTTTAAAGTCAGGAAAGGTGTGTGTCAGGGTTGTATCCTTTTCCCATACTTATTCAATCTATATGCTGAACAAATGATCCGAGAAGCTGGACTATATGAAGAAGAGCGTGGGATAAGTTTTGGAGGAAGACTCATTAACAACCCGTGTTATGCACATGACATAACCTTACTTGCTGAAAGTGAAGAGGACTTGAAGCACTTACTGATGAAGATCAAAGACCGCAGCCTTCAGTATGGATTACACCTCAACATAAAACAAAAATCCTCACAGTTGGACCAGTACGCATCCTCATGATAAACGGAGAAAAGATTCAAGTTGTCAAGGATTTCATTTTACTTGGATCCACCACGAATACTCATGGAAGCAGCAGTCAGGAAATCAAAAGACGCATTGCATTGGGCAAATTTGCTGCAAAAGAACTGCACTTTAAAGAGTGTTGAAAAGCAAACATATCACTTTGAAGACTAAGAGTCACATGACCCAAGCCATGGTGTTTTCAGTCACCTCACATACATGAGAAAGCTGGACGATGAATGAGGAAGTTCCCGAAGAATTGATACCTTTGAATTGTGGTGTTGGAAAAGAATATTGAGTATACCATGGACTGCCAAAAGAATGAACAAATCTGTCTTGGAAGAAGTACAACCAGAATGCTCCTTAGAAGCAAGGA